GGGCTAGAAAAACAGAGCAAGACCCCACGCTGTGAGGAATGTGTGTATATATATATATATATATATATATATATATATATATATATATATATATATATATATATACCAAATATGACTTGAAAGAAATTTTACTTTGTAATTTAATGACTTGATATTGGGCCTCTGTCTCTTTAAGAAACTCCTGCTCTTCATGAAACTCTGCCTTCAGGGGTTCATCACAACATGGCTCCTCTATTAACCCTTTACCAACGTTTCTACCAGCGTTCCACTGAGAAGCAGCTCGTATAATGAGCTCAGCATACACACAGTTCCACTAGGTGTTTGCTAATTGTAGCTGGCTAGTCTGAAGGAGCTGAGTGAAGGAGTCACAGGGTTGGCTGCTTTGGTAGAAGCTTGGAAGCTGCAGCTCTGAGGAGGAGCTTCGTTCTCAAAGGCGGAGCTAGGTCCACCCAGATGTCTTGCACAGCTTAATGGTTGCCACGGGAGATTAAAGGATTTCTTAAACATGCATGAAAGAATCAAAGCAACACTCCAGTTTAAGATGACTGAATAACATTATAACATGTGAAGCTCAAAAAAGTCGATGTTACTGATAATAAAGATCCCCAAGACTTCTGGGAAAATATTCTCTTAACTAATGAGACAAAAGTAGAGATTTTTCTAAAGTGTACATCTTTTTGCCACAGGTGTAAAACCAGCACGTTTCAGAAAAACTATTTTACTGTCGGTCTGAACCAACAGTAAAACATGGTAGTGGTAGTGTGATGGTCTGTTGCTGGGTGACTGGAACCAGGAATTCTCCTCACTACAAAAACATCCTAAGGAGAAATCCTGGCCATTAGTTTGTGACCTTAAGGTCTAGTGAACTTTGAATTATGCAACAGGACAGTAATTCCTGTTGCAAGTCCAAACAAAGACTATGAAGTGGCCTAGTCAAATCCTGAATCTCAATCTGACTCATATGCTGTGGTGGGACTCTAAAAATGCCATCCACGTTTAAAAACAATTATTTCACAGCACTGTAAAGGAATCAGTTTTGGCCATAGGAAGTGCTTGACAACAGTTGTTGTTGGTCAGCATAACCAGTTTTTACTACAGTCTCTCCTGAAGGGTTGTTGGATGATGAATGGGTCCATCAAAAAGTTTGGAAATAGATGTTTGGTCCCTTGACAGAGCTCCTTAAAATCACTCACAAAAAACCAAAAAAAGGTGCAAAAAAACCAAACAAAAAAAAACAGACCAAGTAGACTTCTGTGGTGCTTGTGATCCTTTGTGCAGCTTCAGCCATTGGACAATTCTCAATGATTTAGCTACAAGTACAGGAGCCAAGAGCACAAAAGCATTTTCATCTCTCTAAATATTCTGGAAGAACGTCCAGAAACTATGGAAAATGTAAGACAGTTTTAAACTCTTGCCTTATACTTTTATTCTTTCTTGGGCAGCATCTGTTGTGAACAACTGTGATCTCAGAGTTTGGCTCGTAGCTGTCATACATAAATATGATCAACCACCCCTAAAAATATACAGCTCACCTTTTGCCGTTCGAGTTCAGACTATATTTGGAAATGTACAGTTCAGTGTCTTCAGGTTCTTTCTATATCTCCGTGACTCTTGTTTGTTCCACCAGTTTTCGAATAGTTTTAGCTATTTGTTATGAACCATAAGTGAAGATTGTGGCTGTAAACTGTACTCTGCCACAAAAAAAAGGTTTTGAATTCAACTAACGGCGTAAAAATTGCCTAGATCTTGCTGGAACATTAGTCAGGTGACAGAAGGCTGACTTTGTAACCGTCTTTATGTGGCTCTAAAGGTTCAGGTCTGAGTCCATCACTATACCCAGATTTATCGGTAATAACTGAACCTGTGTTGATTCTATATTATTCCTCTTTAGGTCCAAAGATAACTTCAGTTTTGTTTCTGTTTGTTGGGCTGCAGCACAAGTGCAGATAAGACTGAATAACCCTCACCTATATGTCACCAAAAACAAACCACATAGCAGTCCAGAATGTCTGTTATCGTGTTATTACTGTTACTGAATATTTTGGGATGTGCTCGTCCACATCCCAAAATATTCAGGTCCCATGGAAACGAGGCATGCTGCAGATTCACCATGCTCAGTAAGCGTGTCCATGCGTGTGCTCCTATTTTAGTATTTGCATTTTTTGCAGGGTTTCCATTGTCATGTGTTGCATTTTATAAAGACTTTATGTAAGAAAATGAGATTATCTTATGAAATATAGTTTCACATGCTCATTCAAAACCCAAAAGTTTTAATTCCCTTTAAGTTTTAATTACCAAGAGAAAAAGGCGCGGAATGCAAAGACACAGACATGAGACACTTCAAACTTTTATTCATGAGTAGAACATTTTTAATCATGTCTCATTTTCCTTCCACTTCACAACCATGTGCTACTACAGTACAGTCAGATAGAAACGTTTTACCCGCTGTTTGTGGTTAAAGCTGCAGTAATAAACTTTTATAAAAAAAAATAAAAAAAATTTGTTTTTGAAATTATCATCAAGTCATGACAGTATGGTATTAGACAGATAATCTGTGAAAAAATAAATCAAGTTCCTCTGCCTTCTCCCAGTGCTAACTAGAAACAACCAATCACAGCCAGTAGGCGGGCCTTAGCCCCTTCTCCTGGCTCTGATTGGTTGTTTTTTGGTTGCGGTGCATTTCTTCAGACGGCTGTAAAAGCACGCTGAGGAGGTGGAGGAACTCCATCATGTTATACTGTCACAACCTGGTGAGAGTTTTAACAAATATACATATAAAAAAACCCTTTTTTTTAAAGAAAAGTTGCAAACTGCAGCTTTAAACAGTGTGAACACTTTCGTAAGGCGCTGTATATTCTCACTTTCACACTGAAGACAATTTGTTGCCCCAGTTTCACCTCTTATGTGATGCCGATAATCTCTTATCTCCAGCTTCTGATCTGAGTGTGTCACCACACACACACAGACACACGCACATGCACACACACACACACACACACACACACACACACACACACACACAAGCATACACACACCACAGCGTGACAAGGAGCAACAAAACTGCAATCAAATCCTTATTTTAGGTTGAAACAGATCTCACTTCTTCCTTCTCCTCTCACCTCTCCTTTCTCTCTGCTGTACCTCAGGCTCCTTGTTTTGCCTTCTTTGCCAACACAACTCATCCATTTTGAACAAAAGGCGGACCAAAAGCCCTCACGGTTTATTTCTGGGGCTAAAAGAAAGAGAAAGAACAGAATGGTTTCTGGTGAAAGGACCGTTCTGTGTGAATCCTCATGGTTTGATTGAAGTGAGCCCTCATTCTTTTGAGCTTATGGTCTCTATAGTGATGAGGAGGCAGCTGGGGATGAATAGGAGAAGGTGAACAGACTGGCCAGATGACAAAAGGAGCAATAATTGTGACCCGAAGTCGAAGCGGGTTGGTCCTTTTCAGCTCAGCAGAGGTAAATAAGTTCTCACAGAACAGAAACGTCCGTCTAGTTGAAAGAAAAAGAAAACCAATATTTCCTTCTTACTTTTACAGATAAGAGAATATTTGACACCTTTAACGACTACTGTGTTTTGCTTTGGTTTTTAAAGTTTTTTTGTTTTTTCTTAAAATTACACTGAGAAAATGACTTAGATATATTGAATTAATTGATCACAAACAATCAAACTTGTCCAAGTAAATTTATTCTGTTATGTTTAACAAACGTAAATAAATAAAGTTTGACAAACTGAATTTGATGACACATGACAAATTGTTTTTTTAAGTTGGAGCTCAATTCACCCCCCCCCCAACATATTTAAAACCTAAAGATTTGCCTTCAAATAATGAATTTTATTCATTTTACATGCAAGTGAAATGCCAACACACAGGCCAGTGTTGGGAGGTTTGATACAAGATTTAGACCTGATAACAGGGAGAAACCTGTTATTTTTATAGTTAGTTATAATTCAGTTTAAGTTAAGTGAATATTTTGTGTTCTTTTTCTCCAGACACATTCCACAGTGGGCCAATCCTCAGTCCTGCTGTAAACTCAACTTCCTCATCGATGCCAATATTCCAGCGGAACAAAGCAAGAAGCAAAGTAAGCTAATGATTTTTTTTTTTTTGAAAGCACTTTTTCAGTTGTGAAAGTTAAACTTTCATCAGCTGTTGCACATCAGATAACTAAAATTCTCCATTTTCATTCTGAATGAAGGGCGAATGTGTTGGAACATCTGTTTCTCTGCCGTACCATAAAACCAAAGACTGCTGTCGGTCATTTTTCCTCTGAGTTGCTATGATTTGATTTGATTCGGAGCCATAAAGCGCCATATTTCGTAAAAGTCAACCGACTCCAGGATTTTAAATGAGGTCTTCAGAGAATAATGTACGATAAAATAAAATGAAGCATAATATTTTAAAATTGAGTCCATAATTTACTAAATGAAATAAATATTAGTTAAGCACATGTGAAGACGTTGCCTCACATGTGTGATCGTCAATTTGAAAATACCTGTGGACCACAAATGGCTTTTTTTTTTTTATTAAAAATGTATCATACTTTATATTTTCTGTATTTGTATTGATTGTATATTTATTAATATATTACAACTGAAACTGGTATTTTAATGAAATATATTTTTATGTCAAAAAATTGACATGTTCTACACTTTTTTGATCAGTTCTCTATTTTCTAAAAAAAATTTAAAAATATTTTTGACTCTTTAAAGATACTTCCTGTATTCAGTCATGTTTATTTTTTTAGGGCCCCAAGTCTGCTATTGGGTAAAATGCACTTTTTTTTATTGTGATCCTGATTAATATTACGTTATCAAAATGAAATCAAAACATTTCGGTAATAAGACATAAATACTTTGGATTGGGTCCAGCTTTTCCATTTTTTGAATTTTCTGTGTTTCTTTTAAAAAGGGACAATTATCTCCTTTTACAGGATTTTACGATAACTTTAATTGGAGAGAGACGGTATTTCTGGACAAATAATCCTCAAGTGGACAATCTCTAGAGAGAAATAAAATCTGTTGTTCAGGAGGCAGAGGACTGAACCAAGCTGTCCTTGTAAAGAAAAACAGTAAAATGCCAAACATCTCGTTGAAAGTGGCTTGCCAAGAAATTCTTGAATACAGTTAAAGGTGAAAAGATGTCAAATCACTGATATTATGTAGTTCCTCTGAGGAAAAGAGAGATGTCAGGAACCTTGTGAGAAAGGACAGGATCCAAAACATAAAGCTGTGAGAAGAATCAGAAAAAAAAAAAAACTTAATTAAACTGTTTCTGTTTTATACACACACACACACACACACACACACACACACACACACACACACACACACACACACACACACACACACACACACACACCAGGGCTCTAGAGAGCAACCAGTCTGGTTGGAAAAGCTACTTGATTTCTCAGTAATGCATCTAAACACTGGATATCTCCCTGTGGTTCATCGACAGACAAACATCAGGCCCATATTGTGGTCTAAACCAATCAGAAATAGTGATTGGCCTTGGTCCAGTGGTTAATGTGCGTGTCTACATTGTGTGCTGTAGTCGGACGTAAACAAATTTACTTAATGGAAACACGCCAATGTAGAAAAAAAAATCATTTTTGATAAGTTTTGTGTGCTAGAATGAGGTGATCTTTACGATGTCTCATAACTGCAATGGAAACATTGTTTTTACATCACACAAGTCACGAATCAACATGACTCATGATGCTGTTACTGCTGGCGGAAAAGACGACAGGAAGTTGTTGGAGGATGTCCGATTTAACAATTTATTACGTGAACAAACTTATTCATGTGTGATTTTAATTGTGTTTCTTATTTAACACTGCAACTGCAAAATTGTGTTTTTTTGACATTAGCAGAACATGAACAAAGTTTTGCCCACATTTGTAGTGCAAACACAGCTAATGATGGGAGTAACATAAACGGCATTGCTACCGCCGTTACTTCTTCCAGCAGCAATTAATCCAACAAATTCCTTTCTCTGTCGCAACAATGACTTTTGTGCTGGTGCACCTAAGGAACGTAGCTAGGCACAGTGTAAGAAGTTACTCTAGCATCCTGCATGACTTTTTTGTACACACACTCCATCATTCAGCACAGAACAAACTGAATAACCAGCACTAAGACTGATTCCGATCAGTTAAATCCGATGTAAAGAAGAGGTGTTTCCCATTCTTAGTTTCTGTTGCCAGGTTTAAGTGCAGTGGTGACCTTATGACCTCCACTCCACCGTGCAAGGGCTTAAACACAATTCAAACAAAGTGACACATTTCAAGGACTTGCATAATTAAGTCATAAGCAGTCACTGAACCATAAGATGGGTGCAAATGCAAGACTGGTGTGGGAAAACAGACGGCCCTGGATGTTTGCACACGGGGGGGGGGGTCGTCTCACACTGACATGAATGGAAAGTGACTGACTGTGTTGTGTGTTGAGAAAAGACTGAGGATTAAAGGCCAGTACATGTTGGATGTCATTAGTTTGTGATCGTTTTAGGTTAAAAATGAACTTTCTGGAAGTGAAGTCATGCTTTACTCTGTCGATGCTTGTGAATCTATTGATGCAACATTGGTTCATTTCCTAGGTCAGGTCAAAAGGGCAGTTCCTTGTTCAGTATCTTGAATGGTTGCTGGTGATTTTACTCCTTTTGAATTTTTAACTCTTTTATAGTATTTCAGAACTCTACCCCGGTACGTTTTGTGCCCCAGCGTGTCATTAGATGCATTTCCAATCACTGTAGAACTGTACAAATTAAAGTTACGATAATGGCCAACATGGCAATTTTGAAAAAAAAAAAACTAAACATTTTTGATACGTTTTTGCTTATGAGGTAGCTTTTCAGCTGTATAGAAATAGATTAATTTTGCAAAACTGCAATGGAAATATTTTTTATTCGAATTACATGAGTGAAGTAAGTAATCTTAGGGAGATTATAATCTATTCATCTAAGTCTAACATGTATTGTTTTCAATATATAAGGTGTATTTGACTTAACTTGTCTCCTACAGACAATAAGAGAACCTGAAACTGCTCAGTTCTAAGTTGTTGTTGAGTTTCAAACTTACAGGTGAAATTTGAACCCAGTCTGACCTCAATTACAAGTCAGTCTAACTACTCACCAAAACATCAGGGTAGTCTGCATATGGCTTCAGCATGCACTCAACTTTTCATTAGAGACAGAAGCCTCACTTGGAACAGTCAGATAACTGAAGTCTGCTTGTACAATGTACCACTGGTTCTGTTTGGAATCAAAGTCATTTTGAAATGGATTGAATTAATGAACTATTGTCCCTTACATGACAAGTGACTACTCTGAATAAAATAATGCAACTCTAATATTGGTGAATAGTAAAGGAGAGAGGATGTTAATTATTCACTGTTGGTCTCCTAGTTGCTGCAAAAAATATTGCCTTGAATCTTTGTCTTTTTAAATGCATAAGTGACATACCTAAAATGCAAACCAAACACTGCAATTCTCATTACTAATACGTAGCACTGCATCCTGAAATGTCCTTGTTACTGTGCAGCTTTGTTTTTTTTTTTTTTGGTCTTATTTAATTTGCACACTCTCTCCCTGCCTCTACACCTTCTAATGCTGCATTGCACATCTTTTATTTGCTCAGAGCAAACAGTTGTTCTCTTTGTTTGAGACATGTCGCAAGAAAATAAATCTGAATTAATGTGTGCAATGTAACATGTGCGGATGCGGAACAGAGGAAGTGAAATGTCCTTGCTAACCGTTAGGATTGCTGGATCTTTTTCTGCTCAGCACAACAAATAATTCTGTTTTTTTTTTAAGTGAATCCCTTTAAATAAATCAGTCCTGATTCCTTCATTTGTGACTTTGATTCAGTTATTTTTTTACTTAGTAAAAGGAAATCTTCAGGAAAAAAAGTTACATTAAAATGCAAATAAGACTCTAAAGATATTTTAGAAGGTTTATACCATTTTAGCTCATTTATGTCACATTATGTTACTTTTTATTTTAGAGTGGATGTAAGAGAATGAAACCAGAAGAATTGGTGTGGTCATTTGTGTGTGGGTCGATCAGCGGGGGAAAGTTTGGTGGTTGTATTTACACTTCAATTGCCAAACCAAAAAAAGTTTTATGTAAAATGAACTTTTCTTGTGATTTACATCATGCTATAATGTTATTCCCTCATCAAAAACGTACCTGAAGTGTTACTTTGATTCTTCCATGTGTGTTTGAGAAACCCTTGAGTCTCCCATGGAAACCATTCCAAAAACGCCTGGGTGGACCTAGCTCCGCCTTCAAAGACGAAGCTCCTCCTCAGGGCTGCAGCTGCCTCACACAGACTTCTTCCCTAGCGAGCACCAGGTGGAGTTGCACATCTGAAAACGTTGCTAAAGGGTTAATGCAGGAGCAATGCTGTGACTTCCGGAAGGCGGAGCTTCAGAAAAATGAGAAGTTTTTAAAGAGACAGAGGCCCAATTTCCAGGCATTAAATTATGAAATCAACTTTCTTTTTTTTATAGCAGCTGACACTAACAGTTACTTGATTGTGCCATAAAATGGCACTACATCCCTGGAATATACAGAATACTGCCCCTTTAAAGTTACAGCTGGCTTTAGGTGCTGTACCCTTCAGCCACCACAGGGGAGCAGTAAGGAGACGGGCGCTGCTAAAAGCAAATAGATTTGCTACAAAATAATCAAACTTTGTCGTGTGTTATTTAAAAAATTCTAACACTGAATGTCTTTAGCAACTTTAATGTTAAATCCCCACAAAAACTACAGGATAACGCCTCATTCCTGCATATCCGGCGCATATGTGCATTCTTGTGTACGTGTGCAATTCCGCTGTCGATAATAGAATCTTAATTGGCTGATTAGGGAGGATTAAGGTCATTGATTGGATAGAGCTCAGGGCTCACCTGCTGTTCCCCACATCTAATTGGCCGGCTATGTAACATATCAATGAGTGGCTGGGAGCTGCGGCAGACAAGTGTTCACACATTCACACGCCGACCGCTGAAAGGAACGCACTGATATGGATAAAGAGACTAGCAGGAGATGAGGGATGGGAGTTAGGAACAGAGAAGGCGGGAT